GCCCTTGGGGGTGGCACGTGGGAAGGCCTGTGGGACGTCCAGTGGGCGAGGCGTGTGGGGAGGAGGGGGAGGCCAGTTGAGTGTGGGGGAGGAAGTGGGGGAGGAGGCCAGAGGGGTGGGCTAGTGGGGGTGGCAGTGGGGGAGGGCCAGTGCGGAGGCAGTGAGGAGGCAGTGGGGTGGCAGTGGGGGTGGCTGTGGGGAGGCAGTGGGGGGAGGCAGTGGGGAGGCAGTGGGGAGGCTAGTGGGGAGGCTGTGGGGTGGCTAGTGGGGAGGCCAGTGGGAAGGCCAGTGGGGAGGCCAGTGGGAAGGCCAGTGGGAAGGCCAGTGGGGAGGCCAGTGATGAGGCCAGTGAGGAGGCCAGTGGGGAGGCCAGTGGGGTGGCCAGTGAGGAGGCCAGTGGGGTGGCCAGTGGGGTGGCCAGTGGGGTGGCTAGTGGGGAGGCCAGTGGGGTGGCTAGTGGGGAGGCCAGTGGGGTGGCCAGTGGGAAGGCCAGTGGGAAGGCCAGTGGGGAGGCCAGTGGGAAGGCCAGTGGGGAGGCCAGTGGGGAGGCCAGTGAGGAGGCCAGTGGGGAGGCCAGTGGGGTGGCCAGTGGGGTGGCCAGTGGGGAGGCCAGTGAGGAGGCCAGTGAGGAGGCCAGTGGGGTGGCCAGTGGGGTGGCCAGTGGGAAGGCCAGTGGGGAGGCCAGTGGGGAGGCCAGTGGGGAGGCCAGTGGGGTGGCCAGTGGGGTGGCTAGTGGGGTGGCTAGTGGGGAGGCCAGTGGGGTGGCCAGTGGGAAGGCCAGTGGGAAGGCCAGTGGGAAGGCCAGTGGGGAGGCCAGTGGGGAGGCCAGTGGGGAGGCCAGTGGGGAGGCCAGTGGGGTGGCCAGTGGGGAGGCCAGTGGGCTGGCCAGTGGGAAGGCCAGTGGGAAGGCCAGTGGGAAGGCCAGTGGGGAGGCCAGTGGGAAGGCCAGTGGGGAGGCCAGTGGGGAGGCCAGTGGGGAGGCCAGTGGGGTGGCCAGTGGGAAGGCCAGTGGGAAGGCCAGTGGGAAGGCCAGTGGGGAGGCCAGTGAGGAGGCCAGTGGGGTGGCCAGTGGGGTGGCCAGTGGGAAGGCCAGTGGGAAGGCCAGTGGGGTGGCCAGTGAGGAGGCCAGTGGGAAGGCCAGTGGGGAGGCCAGTGAGGAGGCCAGTGAGGAGGCCAGTGGGCTGACCAGTGGGAAGGCCAGTGGGGTGGCCAGTGAGGAGGCCAGTGGGCTGACCAGTGGGAAGGCCAGTGGGGTGGCCAGTGAGGAGGCCAGTGGGCTGGCCAGTGAGGAGGCCAGTGGGAAGGCCAGTGAGGAGGCCAGTGGGGTGGCCAGTGGAAGGCCAGTGGGGTGGCCAGTGGGGAGGCCAGTGGGAAGGCCAGGGGGGGTGGCCAGTGGGGAGGCCAGTGGGAAGGCCAGTGGGTAGGCCAGTGGGGAGGCCAGTGGGTTGGCCAGTGGGGTGGCCAGTGGGAAGGCCAGGGGGGGTGGCCAGTGGGAAGGCCAGTGGGGAGGCCAGTGGGGTGGCCAGTGGGGTGGCCAGTGGGAAGGCCAGTGAGGAGGCCAGTGGGAAGGCCAGTGGGGTGGCCAGTGGGAAGGCCAGGGGGGGTGGCCAGTGGGGGAGGCCAGTGGGAAGGCCAGTGGGGTGGCCAGTGGGGAGGCCAGTGGGTTGGCCAGTGAGGAGGCCAGTGGGAAGGCCAGTGGGAAGGCCAGTGGGGAGGCCAGGGGGGTGGCCAGTGGGAAGGCCAGTGGGAAGGCCAGGGGGGTGGCCAGTGGGGAGGCCAGTGGGAAGGCCAGTGGGGTGGCCAGTGGGGAGGCCAGTGGGGTGGCCAGTGGGGTGGCCAGTGGGAAGGCCAGTGGGAAGGCCAGTGAGGAGGCCAGTGGGAAGGCCAGTGGGGTGGCCAGTGGGAAGGCCAGGGGGGTGGCCAGTGGGGAGGCCAGTGGGAAGGCCAGTGGGGTGGCCAGTGGGGAGGCCAGTGGGTTGGCCAGTGAGGAGGCCAGTGGGAAGGCCAGTGAGGAGGCCAGTGGGGTGGCCAGTGGGAAGGCCAGTGGGGTGGCCAGTGGGGAGGCCAGTGGGAAGGCCAGGGGGGTGGCCAGTGGGGAGGCCAGTGGGAAGGCCAGGGGGGTGGCCAGTGGGGAGGCCAGTGGGAAGGCCAGTGGGGTGGCCAGTGGGGAGGCCAGTGGGTTGGCCAGTGGGGTGGCCAGTGGGAAGGCCAGGGGGGTGGCCAGTGGGGAGGCCAGTGGGGAGGCCAGTGGGGTGGCCAGTGGGAAGGCCAGTGGGGTGGCCAGTGGGGTGGCCAGGGCATCACACAGGTGACCACACCTGGCCACCCCTTGGTGGCGCAACTGCTCGGCTCTTGTCGGCTTGCTGTGGGAACACCAGAGCAGGGTCGACCCACTAAATTACGTGATACAAATAAATAAAAAATAATGAAATAAAAAAGTAAAAAAATGTAAACAAAAAATCGCTTGATACCATGGAACGCAACGTGTGGACCTCAACACACCCACTAGTCGCTTCCGATCTAACAAGCCGAAACAACTCTGGCTGCGTCCGAACATTCGACCTAATCACCATACAGTGCACTGTAGTGGACTATATGGTGATTAGGTCATTTTAGATTACTGTCTGAACATCTAGTGGAAGAAAAAGTAGTGGACTCGAAATTTCCCACAATGCACCTTGAAAAGAAGTAATCATCCATGGTCACTAGACGAGCAGATATATCCTGAAATACTCGTGATCTCTACTTGCAAAGCATCTTTGGATTTGTTGTGACTGCGGGCTCCTGTCGGGTGGTGTGAGCGGCAACGAATAACAAAGATGGCGCGGGGGCCGTGGGGGGAGGCAGAGTTATGTGACCAACAGGGAGCGAAAGGCAGTCATCACCCGTCCGAATCATCAGTTAACGGCGCCATCTTTGGCATGTGTCCCCCCTGTCACAGGGGTTATATGTTCTGGGTTATATCCGCTCGTCTAGTGACCATGGATGATCACTACTGTTCAAGGTGCATTGTGGGAAATTTCCATTGCTATTTCATCCACTAGACATTCAGACACTCATTTAAAATGCGTAACCACTATAGTGATTAGGGCGGACGTTCAAACACAACCATGGAGATCCTCCAGCTGGTTTCTGATTCTACAGATCAATATGGCGGATACAACCTCATCTACTGTGGGAGGATTAAATGGATCACAAATGGTGAATGGCCTTTACACTGGCGTCACTTCATGATACAAAAAATCACAGTTTAACAACGAAAACAGAAAATCTACTGATTGTTTGTTTCATTAGAAAAGTAGCACTGATACTCCAAGCTGTAAGAAATTATCTGGAATAGAATAATAATAAGATAGAATAGAATAGAATAGAATAGACAGAAAATGACAAAAACTATAAAGACAAATATAAACTGTTTTCGAATGATTCGACCATATGTATCAAATCAAGCTGCACAAGTATATTTACATGCAATGATTTTATCTCATATGTCTTATTGCGCCATCGTTTAGGCCCAGGCCACAAAGTCTGTTTTAAAACCTTTACTCTCACTTCACAAGCAAGCATTAAAAATATTCGATCAAAAACCGGTGAAGTGGCATCACTGCAAAATTATTAAAAAACACAATATGATGACATTTGAAAATTTTATAAATTTCTAATTTTTAAAAGCTATTTTTAAATGCCTTAATGGTCTTGCCCCTGAGGTAATCTGTAAATTTGTTTTAAAGTATGCAAATGAAGGAATCAGGACAAGAGCTGGAGCTAGTGGGAACTGCAGGATTAAAAGATGTCGGACATCTATGGGTCAGTCTGCCTTCTCAGTGAAAGCATCACATCTCTGGAACTCTTTGCCTCTGGAGCTTCAGTCACAGACTGATATTCGACTTTTCTCCACAAGATTGAAAAAATGGCTCAAAGACAATCAAGAGTGTGAGCACTAAACTGGCTTGTACTGCACATTTTTGTTTTAACTTCTCTTGTTTTTTTGTTTTTTTTGTTTTTTTGTGTGTTTTTATGCATCTGTGTGTCGTTATTAACCTCCCTCCCCCTCAATGCTAACACCTTTTAAAAGCCTAACCAGGGACGAAGGCTGCAAATTAGCCCATGGCTACAAGCCTTATGTACTTAGACATCGGCCACCTGTTTGGTTGCAATGTTTAATTGTACTGTCCCTGTCAAATAAACAAATAAATAAATAAAAAATAGAATAGAATAGAATAGAATAGAATAAGATAGAATAGAATAGAATAGAACAGAGTAAGATAGAATAGAATAGAATAAAATAGAATAGAATAGAACAGAATAAGATAGAATAGAATATGATAAGTACCGTTAACTGAAATAAAACAGCATAAAATCATAAAATACAATAAAATATATTAAGATAACAGAAAATACAAAAATCAAATAAGATAAAAAAGAATAAATTCAAAGCATCTGAAATAGAATAGAAAAGAGTAAATGTACAATAAAATAGAATAGTTTATTGATGATGATGGCCGCTCACCCTGAGCCTGGTTCTGCTGGAGGTTTCTTCCTGTTAAAAGGGAGTTTTTCCTCTCCACTGTCGCTACAAGCATGCTTAGTGTGAGGGATTGCTGAAGAGTCAATGAGTCGATGCAATCAGCTGGTTTTCCTTAGATAGACAACTTTGTATCAATTTGACTGTATGATCTGGTTGAACTGTAAAGTGCCTTGAGATGACATGTGTTGTGAATTTGGCGCTATATAAATAAACTGAATTGAATTGAATTGAATGATAGAATAATGACAAAACAGAATAGAATATAGAAAGATAACAAAATTTAAAAAATATATTAAATTGAATTAGCTGAAATGAAATAAAATAGTTTAAAATAATAAAATTAATTAAATAAAAGAACAAAGTTAATAATAATGAATAGTTGAAAGAATAAGATTTGATGTGGGGGAAATCAGTTGTATGTATAGAAGCGAGTTTTTGTTTTTTTGTGACCCTGATCTGGTTCCAGTCTTACCAGCTAAGATGAAGAGAATGCCTCCAGCCAGCGCCACTTTGTCCTTCTGCTGGGGTTGACCTTCCATACAGGTTGTGCATCTCATTCCCACTACGGCCACCAACATGGAGATGAAGGAGAGCAAGATGGACACCAACATGAGTCCCCGAGTTCCCTGAACAATCCCTGCAGGAACAGAGGAGGGACACGGCGCCGGTCAAACACATCCAGGATGAACTGCTTCCTCTACCTGGTAATAGATACACATTTAATAGAAGTCCTAAATATCCTTTGCTTTTGCTTGTAAGTTGGATTTAAAATGTGGGAACGGGGCCGTCTGTGGAGCTGGTTGACAGTTGCCTTTCGTATCTATGCTTCTTTTTCTATGTCTGCTTCTGTCTCCTTGAACCCCGGTGGGCCTCAGCAGATGGCCGCTCACACTGAGCCTGGTTCTGCTGGAGGTTTCTTCCTGTTCAAAGGGAGTTTTTCCTCTCCACTGTCGCTACAAGCATGCTTAGTGTGAGGGATTGCTGAAGAGTCAATGAGTCGATGCAATCAGCTGGTTTTCCTTAGATAGAAAACTTTGAATCAATCTGACTGGATGATCTGGTGAACTGGAAAGAGACCTGAGATGACATGATGGGAATTGGAGCTATAGAAATAAACTGAATAGAATGATGATGTTTAATCAGATTTTTGTTATAAAAAATGAATCATGATGAGTTCTGCTTAACTTTTTCTTTCTGCTAAAATTAACGAACATGAATTTAAATACATTTTCAGAAGAACTGTATTATCACTTTCCACTCCATAAGTCAACCAGTGGTGCGTTTGGCTTTTAATAAACGGGTTGATTACTTGATTAGTTCAGTTTTTGTTTTTTTGTTTTACTTTAGTAAATGCACACTGCAAAAAACTGAAATCTAAATAAGTCATTTTTTCTTTACCGGTAAGTCCATTTTGTAAGGAGATAAGTGTAACACTTTGCAAATGGAACAAGACTTTTAAAATAAGAAAAAAATAATTGCATTGGCTTATTAAAATTGCATATTATCTAATTATATTATTCTAAAAGTAAAAATATTCATTCCATTGGCAGATCATCCCATTAACCTACAAAAATTAGGGGTAAATACACTTGATTTAAGAAATTTTTATGTATTTCTAGATCATTTTTGCAGTGAAACAATCTTAACCATTTAAAAAAGACAACAAAAAAAACAGGAGAATTTTTTTTCCCCGTTTAATTTTCTTGAGTCATTGTGACTTTAAATGAGAAACTAATTTCCTTCTTTTTCATCCTGTCACGGTTTCAGGAAAATGAACACAGGATGAGTCACATCCAGCTTACAGGAATTCATCACAAGTAACCCTAACCCTTTACTTACATTAATGTTTCCTCAACGAACATTGAAAAACAAAAGAGAAATGATAAATAACTGTTTTATTACAGGACTTTAACATAACTTTCAGGAAATATGTTAAAAGGGCTAAAAACCCGCTTCCTTCTTTTCAGTGCTGGTATCTGACCGACGTGTCTCAGCATGTCAGAGGTCCTAAAGAGGAAGGTAGCTCAGAAAACCCTGGAAAAATATAAAACGGAGGCAAACATTTACTCTGCAAAGCAGTTACACTGCAAAAACAAGCTAGAAATAAGTAAACATTTCTTAAATTAAGTACATTCACCCTTAATTTGAGTAAGTAAATAAGATAATTTGCCAATGGAATGAGTATTTTTACTCTTCAATTAAGATAATTATATGATATGCACTTGAAATAACACAATAGAATTTTTTTTTACTTATTTTAAATCTAACTTGTCTTGTTCCATTAGCAAAGTGTCTCACTTACCTCCTCAATTCAAGAACAAATCCACTTATTTTAAGAAAAGCTGACTTATTTAGATATAATTTTTTGGAGTGTAGTCAAACATGTCAGTAAATCCACAGAAGCGGTTTAAATATTTTACAAACTTTGCCTTTTTTGTATAACATCCTCATTGCAGTGAATTTGGTTGAGAGTTGTGAAAAGAGCCTGACAGGTGAAACCTTACCTGGTAGCTGAAGGAGGGAATCGTAGACTTTACACTGAATCTGCCCGGTGCTCTGCCATGCACAGGTTTTCCACAGACCCTCATACAGAGCCTGGGCTGTGATGATGTTGTCCCCCGCGTGCGACGAAGCTTTCCACTCCACCAGGATGGTTGAAGCGATGGTTCCAATCAGGCCGAGGAAGGCCAGCGTGAAACCCAGCAGCTGAACTCCAGCATTTGCCATTTTTTTTTTAGCTAAAGGTAAAAGTAGAGCGATGAGACAGATTTTTAAGATCTTGCTTTGCTGTTTCTTCCCCCAGTGGATTTTCTCTTTCACAAAGAGAAGGTGTGCTGCTGTGCATCCCTTTGGGCGAACCTGGAGAAGAAGGGAGGATCCAGGAATTTCATCCTGTGAAGAAAAAGGGTGACACTGTGTGGACCTGAGGGTCCACTGCAAGGCCCAGAGTTCCCATTACATTCCCTAGAGAGACAGAAAAATGATGGAGGGAAGTTTTCCATTACAGTTACAGCAAAAACACATTTAGTTTCCAATCCACATTAATTATATAGCAAATTTAACAACAAAAATGTTTCCAATGTGCTGTACGTAAAAAAACAAAATAAAAACCCACACACAATCAAAAAAGGAAATGAATAAGACTTTAAAATAAATAAATTAATTAAAAGCACACAGAAGACAACGCAAGAGGAGGTGTTAAAAGACAAAGAGTAAAAGTGGGTCTTAAGAAGTGATTTAAAATGCTCCACTGTGGAGGCTGTTGGTATATGGAGGGAAAATGAATCCACAGTCTGGGGCCAACTTCAAGAAAGGATCTGTCCCCTCTGGTTTCAAGCCTGGTCTTCTGCACTATTTGTTGGGATCTGGAGGCTTGTCTACTTTCTCCACCAGAGGGTGCCTGAGATCTTCCTCCTGAGGGCATGAGCTGACTTCTAAACACCTGTTTCCCATCTGCTCATCAGGAGCCCCTACTTAAGGAGGAGGAGGCTGACACTTCCCTGCCAGAGTGTTTGCCAGTAATGGCACCAGCAAAACCTGAGCCGGCTTCTCTGATCTGATTCTCTGATTTTGTGAACTAGTCTGACCCTGTGTTCTTCTGCCTCTCAGATCCTGACTTATCTGGAAATCAGCCTAATCCTGGAGAAAACAATCGCTGCCTGGAACCTGCCTGTCTGCCCTCCGCCTCAGCCTCTGTCTCTGCCTCTGCCCTCAGCCTGCCGACCAGCCTCTGGACCCACAAGGTTCCCCCCCTGCTGATCAGAATACCCTCTGAGCAGGTATTAATCCAAGTCATCATTAAACTGCAAGTTTCCTGGATCCACTCTAACAGATCTGTCCTCCTCTAGTGCTTCCCTCCCATGACCAGTCTGCCGAGCCAAGATCCAGTTCACATTTCTCTGTAAACTTTGTAAATAAACCATTTAACTTTTTCCCTGTCTGAAGAGTGTTTCTGCATGTGGGTTAGACGCTTAGACCCCAACATGACACTATTAGCTGAAGATGGCGCTCAGACCTCAGAGCAGGGGGCGGAAACTACATCTGGAGGATATGCTGGTGAAGATTCTCAGTCATCCAGGTCACAGTCATTCCAAAAAAAGTTTAAAAATAATCCACTGGACTTTGTTTCCAAGTCTGAAGACGTTTCGCTTCCAGGAAGCTTTTTCAATTCCGAGTAAGGAATGCTCTGATCTTTATACTTGAGAAACCAAACAACCTCTCCACAGACGCATGGACCAACACAGAAGAGCGCCCTCCTCTGGACAACACTCTGCACTACATCTACACCTGATGGACAAAGGACATTCTTTGGAGGAGCAGAATGTTCACATTTTAGACAAAGAAGACAGGTGGTTTGAGAGGAAGGAAGCATCTATGTTAAGAAAGAAAAAACAACCTGAAACAGAGGGGGGGGGGGAACTCAGATTCCAGCTTTCAAGAACCTCCAATGCAGCAATAGAGTTGATTCCTTCCCGCTATCATTGCAGCTCCACCCCCTTTACAGGAGACCGGAAGACCTCACCTATTATTAGAAATATTTTATTTATACTCTTACTTTGTTTGTGTTTCATGGGTTGTGTACTAATGAACTCTTATGATGTATATATAATATGTGATTCATCGTTTATTAACTCTTGCTTAAGATCGTTCCAGATAAAGGTCATGCAACAGACGGGTTGTGAAAGAGGTCTGAACATCCTCTATCACGTGTTTCTTCCAAACATGTGTTCTTGGAACAATTCAAATGTAAAACAACCACATGCCTTGTTTTAACATATGTGCTGAGGTTTACAGTAAGATCCTTTTGTTTCCCTTCCCCCTAGTTAAACCTCAGCTTGTGTAATTAGGGACATCCCCTGACTTCAATAAATAGCGTGAAAGCTGAAGACTGCAGAGTGGGGTGGAGATTGTAAACTCTGCAGTCTCTTTCAACTCTCCTCGCGAGTAACTAAATTAATTGTCTCTGTGCCTTCTTTCTTTCCCTGTATGTATGTATGTATGATGTTTTAGGTGCTTAGACCTGACACCTATTCAGCCAGGCCAACTATTCCCTCTAACGACCCCCCCTTTCAGAGACATAGACAGGTATGGGGCATTGCAGGCTAACAAAGAAGCCAAACAACCCCCATTCCAAAGGGGGGGACCCGTTCATCCGTTTCTATTTGCATGTTTTCTAAACTAAAACCAGGCTTTGTTGGGCTGCTGATAAAACCTGGAACTAAACGCTATTTCTGACATTTTGGATTGAAAAATCTTCCTGGATGGAAGAGAAACATCCTCAGACTTGGAAACAAAGTCCAGTGGATTGTTTTTTGACTTTTTTGGAGTAAATCCGGAGAAGATCGATAATGTATTGAGGAGCCATCCCATTCCAAGCTCTAAACACAAACAATAAAATCTTTATATCAATTCTAAAATGAACAGAATTGAAAAGAAGCAAGATTTGGTGTAAAGTGTTGATGTTTGGTCCCTGTTAAAAGACGAGCTCGCTGGCTAATGCCTGAATAACGTGCATTACAGTAGTCCAGATGGCTAGAAATAAGAATGTAAAATCTGCCCAAAGGGTTAAAAAGATAAAAATGATTTGACCTTAGATAAAAGACTGAGATTATATAAAAACATATTATTTTCTTTATGGATTTTATTTAAAAAATACATTCCAGAAATGAAACTGTTATGACCAAACACAGGTTTTGAGAGTAGCTTTGCTGTTTTCTATGTTAAATCAATTTATTCATTTTTTTTATTAATTTGTATTTTTGCAAAAAAATCTCTATTCTCCCACTCTGCAGAATCTATTAGTTCAATCTCTAACGTTCTGCTCTCTCTGCTTTTTCTCATAGTAGCTTCATCTGGTCTGTTCATGTTTGGCTGTGACTCCATCCTGGAGAGAAATATCAGCTGTGCTGCTGCCATCAACACCTTTGTTTCTAGATGTTGGAGCTTGGCCTGTTTTCCAGTGTAGTCCTGTTTCTCTGACTGTGACTAACTGGATGTGCTCTCTTCATCCTCTGACATGGGAGCTGGCTCGGAGCTCGTCTGCCTGGCTGTGTGTTTCCTGGACGGGGCCGCCTGTGGAGCTGGTTGACAGTTGCCTTTTGTATCTATGCTTCTTTTTCTATGTCTGCTTCTGTCTCCTTGAACCCCAGTGGGCCTCAGCAGATGGCCGCTCACACTGAGCCTGGTTCTGCTGGAGGTTTCTTCCTGTTCAAAGGGAGTTTTTCCTCTCCACTGTCGCTACAAGCATGCTTAGTGTGAGGGATTGCTGAAGAGTCAATGAGTCGATGCAATCAGCTGGTTTTCCTTAGATAGAAAACTTTGAATCAATCTGACTGGATGATCAGGTGAACTGGAAAGTGACCTGAGATGACATGATGTGAATTGGAGCTATAGAAATAAACTGAATAGAATTGAATTATTCTATTCTATTCTTTATTATGAGCTTTAAGTTTCTGGGCCTCCCAAACGTCCCAGCCGTTCATACAGAGAGAGTCAGGAGGGACGTTCATCGCAATGTACGGGACTTTTCATGATTTTTTTCCATAAAATAATAAATAATTTTAAGTTTTAAAATTTAATTAAACGGAATAGTTGAAATCAGTCCCTTTTGCCTTGTTTTAGCTCAGTTCTGTTTACTTCCTGCTGTAACTAACTTATCTCAGCGGGAACTTTTAGTGATGAAATGTTGGCAGCGTCTCGCTGCTGTCCAAAGGTTTAGATCTTTCCAAAGCCTTTTGTTTGCAGTTAGCGTCAGCTGCTTTGGTCCGGAGATCCAGTGGAAAAAACAGGTACGTTGGATTTCTTTCATATTCCACAGCTAAGAAATGTTCTGAATATCATCTGTCTTGATTCTGTTATTTTTCCAGTGACTATGGACAGGCAGTTGGGTCAGACTCTCCTTCTGCTGCTGCTTCTCTGCCGTTCAGGCGACAGCGACTGGCAGAGCGTCTGTCCGTACAAATGTCAGTGCTTCACCTCACTTCAAGTCCTGTGTGCTGATGAAAGGATGTCGAGTTTCCCCAGAGTCATCTCCAGGCAGGTCCGGGAGGTGGTGATAATGACGTCCTCACTGGCCTACCTTTTCCCCACCTCCCTGACGGAGAGCCCACAGCTCACCAAGCTGGTTTTCCTAAACAACGCTCTGAGAAGCATCCACTCCGACACGTTTGAGCACCTGACTGAGCTGCGGGAGCTGGAGCTCAGCGGGAATCCTCCACTGGATCATCTCTACCTGGGAACCTTTTCCAAGCAGGAGAATTTAACCAAGCTGCTGCTCAACTATAACAGTTTGAAAACGGTTCTTCCTGGGATGTTTGATTCCCTGAAACAGCTGGAGGTTCTGCAGATGAAGGGGAACCTCCTATCGGGCCTCCCTCCTCTTCTCTTCCAGAACCTGGGCTCGCTGCATTTCCTGGATCTCTCCCAAAACCGACTCCAGAATTTAACAGAAGGGACGTTTTCTGGTCTGGCTGGTTTGAAGATCCTTAGGTTGAACAACAACCTCATTAGTAACCTTACATGGGAAACGCTGCGGAGCGTTCCTCAGCTCACAGAGCTTCACTTAGAGTGGAACAGGATATCCCACCTGGATGACAACGTCTTCTCTGCTATGACAAACCTGAGCGTGCTGAATCTCCGTGGAAACCTCCTGAATTCGTTCAGCGATGCGGCGTTTGGATCTGAGCTGACGAATCTGAGGGAACTGAATCTGAAAGGCAACAGACTGACTGAGCTGTCCTCTCTGAGCCATCTGAGCTCACTGACAGACCTCATGCTATCAGCCAACCGGCTCTCCAGCCTCAAAGAAAACTCTTTCAGAAACCTAACGGCCCTGGAGACCCTGGACCTGTCTGACAATCAGCTGGCCTCTCTGCCTGAAGGGATCTTCAACGCTCTGTGGAGCATCAGCGTGATAAACCTCCACAATAATCACCTGGAAAAGGTGGACGCCAAACTGATTGAGGACCAGATTATGATTGAGCG